TCAGGCAACGCTGTTCAAGATATTTAATGAATTTTAGCTGACCTTGTTTCACTGCGTGTATTGCTTTAGCAAAAAAAATAAAAATGTATATTGAAATTTTGTCAAGTGTGTGACGCAATTATTAATAGAAGATCGGCGCGCTTCTATTTGTGAGGTCAGAATCAACCTCGATATTAAAAGATTTTACTAGTAGTTTACGTGATCGATATTCCCGTGAAGAGATGATACGTGGCATCTTTTTATTCCACGGGCATAAATGACAAGGCTTACAAGCCCAGAAGTCGTCACGACGTATCAGTCCGATGAATGTATTGGGAAACTGTACTGACTCTCCGCCAGAAAGTCGAAGGCCTACCGATTTGTCCTCGCACGCTAAGTTAGTTTAGAAACATTATCACGGGAATTACAATGGAAAAACTCCTGGCATATTTGTTGGTGGTGTTCATCGGTGTCGGGGCAGAAACCATCTGTCGAGATCAGAGATGGTTTCACGACTCCCGTTACTGCCTCGTAGATGAGCACATGCCGTGGCAGAACGGCTCCGCAATCTGCTCAGACATGGGCGGTGGCTTGGCGATACCTGACTCCCTGGAGGAGCAACAATTCATCTGGGAGATGTTCACAGACACGATCTTCAGGGGAGGTGTTTGGATCGGCTGCAAATTCAAGAATGACCAATGGGTGTATCCTGGCGAGGGAGGCCAGGTGTGTCAGTACACCAACTGGGCACCAGGCGAGCCGTTTCAAAATGCCCCATGCGTAACGCTGTGGAATACACATGCCGGCAAGTGGAATAACGTTCCGTGCACTCTATCTCGTTACGTGATCTGTGAGATTCCTGCTGCATCACTGGTTACCCCGGGGATGTCCTGCCTGCAAGCGTACGCTGACGCCCGCTCCCCAACCCACTGCCTGACCGGTCACGTCATCAAGGAGTTCCCCGTCAAGGGTGCCATCGCCTGTGGTTCGGCGTGCCGGGACGAGCCTCGATGCCGCTCCTTTCAACTGCGTCGGCGCAGCCCCGGAGAAAAGATCTGCCAGTTGAATGACATCAGTCGCTACCAAGCCCATGAAAACAACATCAAACTGGACAATTCTTGCAATTATTTTAATTTGACTGTCTAATAAAATGCATCTTGTTAGTTGAAGATAACTGTAGACGATAATCATCAAAAGGACATGATGGGAAAAGTCACAAAATCGCGTCAAGTGGGACTTTTGGTTTAACACATCACTGTCGTAAAAAAAGAACTTATCAACTTGACTGTACTATTATGTGTTTATATGCACGACTAACATTGTTTCATCTTGTACACAATCTACGGTATATTTTTAGCCTGTATAGTAGCTAGTCTATATGCGCAGGGTCCGTTAATCTATAGGGACTTTTCACAGTTTACCTGTATATTGCATTGTTTTCATTTGATGTTAATTGTTATTAATTCATTTACTTGCATTTGAGGTTCATGTTGACAATCTTTAGATTGCTATGATATGGTTGCGTACCGTTGCGATCAAATTGTTTCTATCAAAAAGCAACAAAATTCTGTATATATGTAGGCCTAGTATGGACACAAAATGTGTACAGTTGTAGACTTTTTAAAAAGTAAGTCAACGTAAACTTGCAGCGTCCCCAATCGCTTCAAATAATGGCCTATTGTGATTTGGGGCACAGAGGAGTTTTACTTCAGATGGCGTTTCTTTATTAGCCCTCACGCAACCAAATACCAAAAACATTTACCGCTCCACGAACCCAATCATCAAAGCTCACAAAAAAAAACCCGTATAGGCTACCACAGTGCAACCATCCCGATGCATATGCCTACGAAATCTTCAAGTTGATTCCCCGTGCTATTTGCGAGTTTGACCTCGAAAAATAGATTTGTGTCGATTTTTTTTTCCTTAAAGCAGTATAAAAGTTATTCACTAGCTGAATGAGACACTGAACGAAAAAAAATGCAACTACGTTTAGTTTATATTGAATTATTTCTTCCCAAAATTCGATTTATTTTTTCCAGACAATAACTCCGCTCTCGCAGGGCGGGTTATTTGTTTACAAAATTGAAAAATTTTCGGAGAGTCGCAGATCCCCCAAAATCAGAAGAAAGTAGGTTTTTTTACGTAATACAAAACATAATTATTGAAAATTTGTAAGGAAAAAAAATCAATTTTTTAAAGGGCATGTAGTATGCATTTTTGAACCACTGTTTTTCCCGACCACCGCTGCCTCGCATCCCCATCAGGTAATGCTGTTCAGGATATTTTAATGGCTTTTTGCTGACGCCGATTCACTGCGTGTATTGCTTCAGCAAGGAATCGAACATGCGCATTGAAATTTTGTTAAGTGCATGAAGCAATTAGTAATGGAAGATTGGCTGTAATTATGTATGAAGTAACCTTGAAATTAAAAGATATTAGGCCTAATTGCAGTTCACGTGATCGATATTTTCGTGAAGAGAAGATACGTGGCATAATTTCATTACACGAGCATAAATGACGAGGCTTACAAGCCCAGAAGTCGTCACGATGTATCAGTCCGATGAACGTATTGGGAAACTGTACTGACTCTCCGCAGTAAGTCGAAGGCCTACTGATTTGTCCTCGGACGCTGAGCGTTTTTTCCAGATACATTGTCAGTAAAACGAGTAAAACATCTTCACGGAATGGCAATGGAACAAGTCTCGGCATATTTGTTGGTGTTGGTCATCGGTGTCGGGGCAGAAACCATCTGTCGAGATCAGAGATGGTTTCACGACTCCCATTACTGCCTCATAGATGAGCAGATGCCGTGGCAGAACGGCTCCACAATCTGCTCAGACATGGGCGGTGGCTTGGCGATACCTGACTCCCTGGAGGAGCATCAGTTCATCTGGGAGATGTTCACAGACACGATCTTCAGGGCAAATGTTTGGATCGGCTGCATATTCAAGAGTGACCAATGGGTGTATCCTGGCGAGGGAGGCCAGGTGTGTCAGTACACCAACTGGGCACCAGACGAGCCGATACAGAATGATGGGTGCGTACATCTGAGGTGGAGAAATGCCGGCGAGTGGAATGACCTTCCTTGTACTTATTCTTGTTACGTGATCTGTGAGATTCTTGCTGCACCACTGGTAACCCCGGGGATGTCCTGCCTGCAAGCGTACGCTGACCCCCGCTCCCCAACCCACTGCCTGACCGGTCACGTCATCAAGGAGTTCCCCGTCAAGGGTGCCATCGCCTGTGGTTCGGCCTGCCGGGACGAGCCTCGATGCCGCTCCTTTCAACTGCGTCGGCGCAGCCCCGGAGAAAAGATCTGCCAGTTGAATGACATCAGTCGCTACCAAGCCCAGGAAAACAACATCAAAGTGGACAATTCTTGCAATTATTTCAATGTGACTGTCTAATAAAGTGCAGCTTGTTAGTTGACGATAACTATAGACGATTTTCATCATGATGGGAAAACGTCAAGAACATATCGCCTCACATGTGACTTTTGATTTTAACACATCACTGTAGTTTGTTGGAGGAAAAAAAAGAACTTATCAACTGCATTGCACTTGTGTTTATGTGCAAATGACATTGTTCCATCTTGTACACCATCTACGGTACCGGTATGTTTTTAGTAGCTAGTAGTATCGGTGTTGAATTTTTTATAGATTAAGTTATTTGCATTTGATGTTCATTTTTGGCAATCTCGATATTGGTATGGTGTGGTTACGAGCAAAATTGTTCATCGAAAACACTCAATACAGTATAGGCCTATATGAAGTATGGAAACAAAAAATGTGTACAGTTGTAGATTGAGAATTAAGGCAACATAAGATTTAAAAACAGAGCTTATCAACTGCATTGCACTTGTGTTTATGCGCGAATAACATTGTTCCATCTTGTACACCATCTACGGTATCAGTATGTTTTTTAGTAGTTAGTAGTATCGGTGTTAAATTTTTATAGATTAAGTTATTTGCATTTGATGTTTATTTTTGGCAATCTCGATATTGGTATGGTGTCGCTTTAAAATGTGGCTTTTTGTGATTTGGGATAGAGTGAGATCGTGGATTTTACTTCCGACTGTTGTTCTGTAGTAGTCCACGTGCAACCATACCAAAAACCATTTACCACCTCCACGAACCCAATCATGGTAGCCTATGAGGTGTTTTTGTTAGCTATGGTGGCCGTTGGCAATCATCATAGCTCACAAAAAGGCTACCATCAGTGCAATTATTCCGATGTATACGAAACCTTAAAGATGTATTCCTCGTGCTGTTTTTTGGTTTCAACTCGAAAATAGAATTTTTGTTCAATTGCTAATTTCCTTGAAATATAAAAGTTATTAACTTTTGAATGAGATATCAAACGAAAAAAATCCACCGACGGACGTTTTTTCCCCACAAAGTTCGATTAATCGGCTGCCAGACAATGCATGTAATTCCACTCTCGCAGGGCGGGAATTATTTTGTTTATAAAATGAAAGTTTTTTTCGGAGGGTCGGAGACACCCCATATCGGAACTAAGTAGTGTGTTTTTTCGTTAAAACCAAACATACAAAATGAAACTTTGTTTGGAGAAAAACTATCGTTTTGTTTAAGACATGAATGGGGTATACATCTTTAAACTATCGTTTCTCCCGACCACCGGCTCACGTATTTGCGCCGATATTATGTGATGGCCGCTTTGACCACCATGCCTCATAGCCCAAGCAAGTAAAAGTTTCGAAAGCGCGTTCGTGATAATATTTTGTTAATGTTTCCTTACGGCGATTTAACGAGTAGTTACCGCGTGTATTGCGTTAGCAAGAAATTGAAAACGTGCATTGAAATTTCGTATGGGGTTTTGTATGACGATTTAATAATATGAGATCAGCGCGTGTTTCCTTTTAATCAGGTCAGAACCAACCGGGATATAATAAAAGATACCAACTCTTCAAGTTGATCCCATCGACTTTCTCGTCACCAGAAGATACGTGGCATCAATTGTATTCCCCCTGGCTTTGAGGACAATAAGGTTTGAAAGATACCAATTACTCTTGGAGTTGACGTGATCGATTTTCTCCTCACGAGACGATACGTGGCATATTTTTCACTTGCGTAGAGGACAATTGAGGTTTAAATGCTCAGAACTCGTCACGGTGTATCATAGTCCATGAATGTTGTGAAACTGTCCTGAAAAGTTATCTCCACCGGAAAGACACTGATTTCTCCTAGAACGCGGGAGCGCTTTCAGAAACATTATCCGTAAAAAGAGCAACCCATCTGCACGGGATTTACAATTCTCATCACGAGTGAGCTTAGAGAGATGGGAAAAGCTGTAGCGTATTTCTTGGTGGTGGTCATCGGTGTCGGGGCAGAAACCATCTGTCGAGATCAGAGATGGTTTCGAGACTCCCGTTACTGCCTCATAGATGAGCAGATGCCGTGGCAGAACGGCTTCACAATCTGCTCAGACATGGGCGGTGGCTTGGCGATACCTGACTCAATGGAGGAGCAACAGTTCATCTGGGAGATGTTCACAGACACGATCTCCACGGAAGATGTTTGGATCGGCTGCATATTCAAGAATGACCAATGGGTGTACCCTGGCGAGGGAGGCCAGGTGTGTCAGTACACCAACTGGGCACCAAACGAGCCGATACAGAATGATGGGTGCGTACATCTGTGGCGTAGTCATGCCGGCGAGTGGAATGACCTTCCGTGCTCTTGGTCTCAATTCGTGATCTGTGAGATTCCTACTGTTCCACCGGTTACCCCGCGGATGTCTTGCATGCAAGCGCATGCTTACATGTACGTACGCCTCCCAACCCACTGCCTGACCGGTCACGTCATCAAGGAGTTTCCCGTCAAGGGTGCCATCGCCTGTGGTTCGGCGTGCCGGGACGAGCCTCGATGCCGCTCCTTTCAACTGCGTCGGCGCAGCCCCGGAGAAATAATCTGCCAGTTGAATGACATCAATCGCTACCAAGCACATGAAAAAGACATCAAACTGGACAGTGCTTGCGATTATTTCAATATGACTGTCTAATAAAATGCAGCTTGTTAGTTGAAGACAACTGTAGACTACAATCATCAAAAGGACATGATGGGAAAGCGTCAAAAAATCGCGTCATGTGTGAATTTTGGTTTTAACACCTCACTATCGTAAAAAAAAACTTATCAACTTAATAACAATACTACCGGAGTCTTATATCGCGCATGGATCTACAAACAATTAGGTACTCAAGGCGCTGTCAATAATGTTCATCTTTAAAGAAAGTGAAATGAACTTGACTGTAATGCTTTGTGTTTATATGCACGAATAACATTGTTTCATCTTGTACACAATCCACGGTATGCTTTTAGCCTGTAGTAGCTAGTTTATTTAGGCGGGATCCATTAATCTATGGGACTTTTCCCACAGTTTACCTGTATATTGCATTGTTTTCATTTGATGTTAATTGTTATTAATTCATTGACTTGCATTTGAAGTTCATGTTGGCAATCTCGAGATTGCTATGATATGGTTGCGTACCGTTGCGATCAAATTGGTTCTATCAAAAAGCACCAGAATTCTGTATATATGTAGGCCTAGTATGGACACAAAATGTGTACAGTTCTAGAGTTCTAAAAAGTAAGTCAACGTAAATTTGCAGGGTCCACAATCGCTTCAAATAATGGCCTATTGTGATTTGGGGCAAAGATGATTTTTACTTGAAACGGCGTTTCTTTATTACCCCTCACGCAACCAAATACCAAAAACATTTACTGCTCCACGAACCCAATCATCAGAGCTCACAAAAAAACGTATAGGCTACCACAGTGCAATCATCCCGATGCATATACCTACGAAATCTTCAAGATGATTCCACGTGGTATTTTCGAGTTTCACCTCGAAAAATAGATTTGTTTCATTTTTTCAATTGCTATTTTATAACAGCAGTTTAAAAGTTATTTACTTTTGAATGAGACATAGAACGAAAAAAAAAAGAAGAATTACCGACGTATAGTTATTGAATTATTTCTTTACAAAATTCAATTAATTGGCTGCTCGATAACAACTCCGCTCTCGCAGGGCGGGTTATTTGTGTACAAAATGAAAGCCCTTTTCGACAGGTCGTAGATGCCCCAAATCGGAATAAAGTAGTCTTTACGCACAACCAAAATATAGGGCCTACATATTAAATAAATGTTAGGCAAAAATCCATTTTTGAAGGGCATGGGGTATTCATCTTTGAACCACCGTTTTTCCCGACCACCGCTGCCTCGCATCCCCATCAGGTAACGCTGTTCAGGATATTTTAATGTTTTTTTTTGCTGACGCCGATTCACTGCGTGCATCGCTTCAGCAAGGAATTGAACATGTGCACTGAAATTTTGTTAAGTGCATGAAGCAATTATATTAATGGAAGATTGACGTCTTTTTAGAAGTTACCTTGAACTAAAAGACATTGGGCCCAATTGCAGTTTACGTGATCGATTTTCTCGTGAAGAGAAGATACGTGGCATCATGTCATTACACGAGCATAAATAACAAGACTTGAAAGCTCGCAACTCGTCATGTATCAGTCCGATGAACGTATTGGAAAACTGTACTGACTCTCCGCAGTAAGTCGAAGGCCTACTGACTTGTCCTCGAACATTGTCCGTAAAACGAGCAAACCATCTTCATGGGAATTACAATGGAAAAACTCCTGGCATATTTGTTGGTGGTGGTCATCGGTGTCGGGGCAGAAACCATCTGTCGAGATCAGAGATGGTTTCGAGACTCCCGTTACTGCCTCATAGATGAGCAGATGCCGTGGCAGAACGGCTCCACAATCTGCTCGGACATGGGCGGTGGCTTGGCGATACCTGACTCCCTGGAGGAGCAACAGTTCATCTGGGAGATGTTCACAGACACGATCGCCACGGAAGATGTTTGGATCGGATGCATACTGAAGAATGACCAATGGGCGTATCCCGGCGAAGGAGGCCAGGTGTGTGGATACACCAACTGGGCACCATTGGAGCCGTATCACAATGACCCATGCGTTCATCTGTGGCATACAGATGCCGGCAAGTGGAATGACTTTCCGTGCACTCTTTCTCTATTCGTGATCTGTCAGATTCCTACTGTTCAACTGGTTACCCCGGGCCCGGGGATGTCCTGCATGCAAGTGGATGTCCTGCATGCAAGCGCATACTTATACGTGCGCCTCCCAACCCACTGCCTGACCGGTCACGTCATCAAGGAGTTCCCCGTCAAGGGTGCCATCGCCTGTGCTTCGTCGTGCCGGGGCGAGCCTCGATGCCGCCCCTTTCAACTGCGTCGGCGCATCTCCGGAGTAAAGATCTGCCAGTTGAATAACATCAATCGCTACCAAGCCCAGGAAAAAGACATCAAACTGGACAGTGCTTGCGATTATTTCAATGTGACTGTCTGACAAAGTACAGCTTGTTAGTTGAAGATAACTATAGACTATTACCACCAAAAGGATATGATGGGAAAATGTCAAGAACAAATCGCGTCAGATGTGACTTTTGATTTGAATACATCACTGTAGTTTGGTGGAGGAAAAAAGAACTTATCAACTTGATTGTACTTTGTGTGTATGCACGAATTATGTAGTTGCATCTTACACACAATCTACCGTATGATTTTCGCCTGTAGTAACTAGTCTATTTGCGGGGTCCATTGATCTACCGGATTTTTCAACAGTTTTGCCTATATATTGCATTTTTTCATTTGATGTTAATTGTTATAAACTCATCTACTTGCATTTGAAGTTGATATTGGCAATCTCGTTATCGCTATGGTTGCGGTCAAATTGTACCAATACAAAAAAACCACTAAATGCTGTATATTATGTAGCACGGAAACAAATTGTGTACAGTTGTAGATTTTTAAAAAAGTAAGTCAAGTAACGTAAACTTGCGCCCTTAATCGCTTTAATCAATAGCCGATTGTGATTTGGGGCTGAGAGGAGTTTTACTTCAGATGGCGTTTCTATATTAGCCCTCACGCAACCAAATACCAAAAACATTTACCGCTCCACGAACCCAATCATTATAGCCCACAAAAACACGTATAGGCTACCACAGTGCAACCATTGCGTTGCATATACCTACGAAATCTTCACGATGATTCTCCGTGCTATTTGCGAGTTTCACTTGATTTTTTTTCAAGTGCTATTTTCCTACAGCAGTATACAAAAGTTATTCACTTTAAAAGAGACATTGAACGAAAAAAATGCAACGACGTTTAGTTTATATTGAATTATTTCTTCATAAAATTTGATTTATTGGCTGGCAGATAATATAACTCCGCTCTCGCAGTGTGGGTTATTTGTGTACAAAATGAAAACCCTTTTCGGAGGGTCGTAGATGCCCAAAATTGGAATAATTAGTATTTAACGTCAAAACCAAACATGCATATTGAAAACTTGTTAGAAAAAAAAATCCATTTTTTGAAGGGCATGGGGTATTTATCTTTGAACCGCCGTTTTCCCCATGAATCGCTGCCTCACATCCCATATTAGGTAGCGCTGTTCAGAATTTTGCTGTCGCCGATTCACTGCGTGTATTGCTTCAGCAAGAAATTGAAGATGTGAATTGAAATTTTGTCAAGTGTGTGACGCAATTATTAATAGAAGATTGGCGCCCTTTTAGCTGTAATATGTCGGAACAAAACTTTAATTAAAAGGCATTGGACCTATTTGAAGTTCACGTGATCGAATTTCTCGAGCATAAATAACAAGGCTTGAAAGCTTGGAACTAGTCATGATGTATCAGTTTGATGAACGTATTGGAAGACTCTACTGACTCTCCGCAGTAAGTCACAGGCCTACTGATTTGTCCTCGAACATTGTCCATAAAACGAGCAAATCATCTTCACGGGAATTGCAATGGAAAAAGTCGTGACGTATTTGTTGGTGGTGGTCGTCGGCGTCGGGGCAGAAACCATCTGTCGAGATCAGAGATGGTTTCACGACTCCCGTTACTGCCTCATAGATGAGCAGATGCCGTGGCAGAACGGCTCCACAATCTGCTCAGACATGGGCGGTGGCTTGGCGATACCTGACTCCCTGGAGGAGCAACAGTTCATCTGGGAGATGTTCACAGACACGATCTCCATGGGAGATGTTTGGATCGGCTGCACCCTGCAGAACGACCAATGGGCGTATCCCGGCGAAGGAGGCCAGGTGTGTGGATACACCAACTGGGCACCAGACGAGCCGGGTAATAATTTAGAATGTGTACGTATGTGGCGTGCGGATGCTGGCAAATTTGATGACGTTCGATGCAACCCCTCTTTTTTCGTGATCTGTGAGATTCCTGCTGTTCCACTGGTTACCCCGGGGATGTCCTGCATGCAAGCGTATGCTGACGCCCGCTCCCCAACCCACTGCCTGACCGGTCACGTCATCAAGGAGTTCCCCGTCAAGGGTGCCATCGCCTGTGGTTCGGCCTGCCGGGACGAGCCTCGATGCCGCTCCTTTCAAGTGCGTCGGCGCAGCCCCGGAGGAAAGATCTGCCAGTTGAATGACATCAGTCGCTACCAAGCCCAGGAAAAAGACATCAGACTGGACAATTCTTGCAATTATTTCAATTTGACTGTCTAATAAAATGCATCTTGTTAGTTGAAGATAACTGTAGACGATAATCATCAAAAGGACATGATGGGAAAAGTCACAAAATCGCGTCAAGTGGGACTTTTGGTTTAACACATCACTGTCGTAAAAAAAGAACTTATCAACTTGACTGTACTATTATGTGTTTATATGCACACATAAAATTGTTTCATCTTGTACACAATCTACGGTATATTTTTAGCCTGTATAGTAGCTAGTCTATATGCGCAGGGTCCGTTAATCTATAGGGACTTTTCACAGTTTATCTGTATATTGCATTGATTTTTCAGTTGACGTTAATTGTTATGAATTCATTTACTTGCATTTAAAGTTCATGTTGGCAATCTCGAGATTGTTATGATGTGGTTGCGTACCGTTGCGATAAAAAAACACCAAAATGCTGTATAATAGTATATAATGTAGTATGGAAACAAAATGTGTACCGTTCTAGAGTTTTTAAAAAAGTAAGTCAACGTAAACTTGCAGCGTCTCCAAAACAATGGCCTATTGTGATTTGGGGCAGAGATAATTTTTACTTTAAATGGCGTTTCTTTATTAGCCCTCACGCAACCAAATACCAAAAACATTTACCGCTCCACGAACCCAATCATCATAGCTCACAAAAAAACCGTATAGGCTACCACAGTGCAATCATCCCGATGCATATGCTTACGAAATCTTCAAGTTGATTCCCCGTGCTATTTTTGAGTTTGACCTCGAAAAATAGATTTGTGTTGATTTTTTTTTCCTACAGCAGTATAAAAGTTATTCACTAGCTGAATGAAACACTGAACGAAAAAAAATACAACTACGTTTAGTTTATATTGAATTATTTCTTCACAAAATTCGATTAATTTTTTTCCAGACAATAACTCCGCTCTCGCAGGGCGGGTTATTTGTTTACAAATTGAAATTTTTTTGGAGAGTCGCAGATCCCCCCAAATCAGAATAAAGTAGGTTTTTTACGTAATACAAAACATAATTATTGAAAATTTGTAAGGAAAAACAAATCATTTTTTTAAAGGGCATGGGGTATGCATCTTTGAACCACTGTTTTTCCCGACCACCGCTGCCTCGCTTTCCCATCAGGTAACGCTGTTCAGGATATTTTAATTGGTTTTTCCTGACGCCGATTCACTGCGTGTATTGCTTCAGCAAGGGATTCAACATGTGCATTGAAATTTTGTCAAGCGTATGCCGCAATTATTAACAGAAGATCGGCGCCTTTTTATCTTTAATTATATATAAACTTACCTTGAAATTAAAAGACATTGAGCCTACTTGCAGTTCACGTGATCAGTTTTATTGTAAAGAGAAGATACGTGGCATCATGTCATTACGCGAGCTTAAATGAAACGCTTGGAAGCTCGAAACTCGTCACGATGTATCAGTTCGATGAATACATTGGGAAACTGTACTGACTTTCCGCTCTAAGTCGAAGGCCTACTGATTTGTCCTCGAACACTGAGGGTTTTTTCCAGATACATTGTCCGTAAAACAAGCAAATCAACTTCACGTGAATGGCAATGGAAAAAGTCGTGGCATATTTGTTGGTGGTGGTCGTCGGCGTCTGGGCAGAAACCATCTGTCGAGATCAGAGATGGTTTCACGACTCCCGTTACTGCCTCATAGATGAGCAGATGCCGTGGCAGAACGGCTACACTATCTGCTCAGACATGGGCGGTGGCATGGCGATACCTGACTCCCTGGAGGAGCAACAGTTCATCTGGGAGATGTTCACAGACACGATCTCCACGGGAGATGTTTGGATCGGCTGCATGCTGAAGAACGGAGACTGGGTGTATCCTGGCGAGGGAGGCCAGGTGTGTCAGTACACCAACTGGGCACCAGGCGAGCCGATACAGAATGATGGGTGTGTACATCTGAGGAGGAGATATGCCGGCGAGTGGAGTGACTTTCCGTGTACTCTTTCTCTATTCGTGATCTGTGAGATTCCTACTGTTCAACTGGTAACCCCGGGGATGTCCTGCATGCAAGCGCATGCTTACGTACGCCTGCCAACCCACTGCCTGACCGGTCACGTCATCAAGGAGTTCCCCGTCAAGGGTGCCATCGCCTGTGGTTCGACGTGCCAAGACGAGCCTCGATGCCGCTCCTTTCAACTGCGTCAGGGGCACAGCCCCGGAGAAATAATCTGCCAGTTGAATGACATCAATCGCTACCAAGCCCTTGAAAAAGACATCAAACTGGACAGTGCTTGCGATTATTTCAATATGACTGTCTAATAAAATGCAGCTTGTTAGTTGAAGACAACTGTAGACGACAATCATCAAAAGGATATGATGGGAAAGCGGCAAAAAATCGCGTCATGTGTGACTTTTGGTTTTAACACCTCACTGTCGTAAAAAAAAAGAACTTATCGACTTGACTGTACTATTGTGTGTTTATATGCACGAATAACACTGTTTCACTTGTACACAATCTACGGTATGCTTTTAGACTGTAGTTGCTTGTTTATATAGGTGGGATCCATTATTCTATCGGAATTGTCCACAGTTAGCCTATATATTGCATTTTTTTCATTTGATGTTAATTGTTATTAATTCATTTACTTGCATTTGAAGTTCATGTTGATTGCTGTGATCTGGTTGCGATCAAATTGTTTCAATCAAAAACACCAAAATGCTGTATATATAATGTAGTATGGAAACAAAATGTGAACAGTTGTAGATTTTTTAAGTCAACATAAATTTGCCTCCTCAATCGCTTAAAACAATGGCCCTTTGTGATTTGGAGAAGATATGATTTTTACTTTAGATGATGTTTCTTTTTTTGCCCTCACGCAACCAAATACCAAAAACATTTACCGCTCCACGAACCCAATCATCATAGCTCACAAAAAAATCGTATAGGCTACCACAGTGCAACCATCCCGATGCATATACCTACGAAATCTTCAAGATGATTCGTGTTTTTTTTAGTTTCACCTCGAAAAATAGATTTGTTTCATTTTTTCAATTGCTATTTTATTAACAGCAGTTTATAAATTATTTACTTTTGAATGAGACATTGAACGAAAAAAAAAAATTACCGACGTATAGTTATTGAATTATTTCTTCACAAAATTCAATTTATTGGCTGCCAGATAATAACTCCGCTCTCGCAGGGCGGGTTATTTGTGTACAAAATGAAAGCCCTTTTCGAAAGGTCGTAGATGCCCAAAATCGGAATAAAGTAGTTTTTACGCACAACCAAAACATACATATTGAATATATGTTAGGGGGAAAAAATCCATTTTTAAAGGGTATGGTGTATTCATCTTTGAACCACCGTTTTTCCCGACCACCGCTGCCTCGCATCCCCATCAGGTAACGCTGTTCCGGAATTTTTTAATGAAATTTTGCTGACGCCGATTCACTGCGTGTATTGCTTCAGCAAGGAATTCAACATGTGCATTGAAATTTTGTCAAGCGTATGCCGCAATTATTAACAGAAGATCGGCGCCTTTTTATCTTTAATTATATGTAAACATACCTTGAAATTAAAAGACATTGGGCCTACTTGCAGTTTACGTGATCAGTTTTCTTGTAAAGAGAAAATACGTGGCATCATGTCATTATACGAGCGTAAATGAAAGGCTTGGAAGCTCGAAACTCGTCACGATGTATCAGTTCGATGAATACATTGGGAAACTGTACTGACTCTCCGCTGTAAGTCGAAGGCCTACTGATTTGTCCTCAAACACTGAGGGTTTTTTCTAGATACATTGTCCGTAAAACAAGCAAATCAACTTCATGTGAATGGCAATGGAAAAAGTCGTGGCATATTTGTTGGTGGTGGTCATCAGTGTCTGTGCAGAAACCATCTGTCGAGATCAGAGATGGTTTCACGACTCCCGTTACTGCCTCATAGATGAGCAGATGACGTGGCAGAACGGCTCCACAATCTGCTCAGACATAGGCGGTGGCTTGGCGATACCTGACTCCCTGGAGGAGCAACAGTTCATCTGGGAGATGTTCACAGACACGATCTCCACGGGAGATGTTTGGATCGGCTGCACGCTACAGAACAACCAATTGGTGTATCCTGGCGAGGGAGGCCAGGTGTGTGAATACACCAACTGGGCACCGTTGGAGCCGTATCACAATAAACGATGCGTAATTCTGTGGAGTAGACATGCCGGCAAGTTTGATGACGTTCCGTGCACTCCATCTCGTTACGTGATCTGTGAGATCCCTGCTACTCCACTGGTTACGCCGGGGATGTCCTGCCTGCAAGCGTACGCCGACGCCCGCTCCCCAACCCACTGCCTGACCGATCACGTCATCAAGGAGTTCCCCGTCAAGGGTGCCATCGCCTGTGGTTCGGCCTGCTGAGACGATCCTCGATGCCGCTCCTTTCAACTGCGTCGGCGCAGCCCCAAAGAAAAGATCTGCCAGTTGAATGACATCAGTCCTAACCAAGCCCAGGAAAAAGACATCAAACTGGACAATTCTTGCAATTATTTCAATATTTGACTGTCGCATAAAATGCAGCTTGTTAGTTGAAGACAACTAGTGTAGACGATAATCATCAAAAGGACATGATGGCAAAACGTCAAAAATCGCGTCATGTGTGACTTTTGGTTTTAACAGATCACTGTCGTAAAAAAAGAATTGATCAATAACAATAATACCGGAGTCTTATATCGCGCACGTATCTACCAGCAATTAGGTACTCAAGACGCTGTCAATAATGTTCATTTTTAAAGAAAGTGAAATGAACTTGACTGTTATACTATGTGTTTATATGCACGAATAACATTATTTCATCTTGTACACAATCTACGGTATGCTTATAGCCTGTAGCAGCTAGTTTATATAGGCGGGATCCATTAATTTATCGGACTTGTCCACAGTTTACCTGTATATTGCATTTTTTTCATTTGATGTTAATTGATATTAATTAATTTACTTGCACTTAAAGTTCATGTTGGCAATGTCGAGATTGCTATGATGTAGTTGCAATCAAATTGTTTCAATCAAAAAACACTAAATGCTGTACATGTGTAGTATGGAAACAAAATGTGCACACAGTTGTAGATATTTTTGTAAAATAAGTCAACGTAAACTTGCCTCCCCAATCTCTTAAAACAATGGCCATTGTGATTTGGGGCAGAGATGATTTTCACTTCAAATGGCGTTTCTTTATTAGCCCTCACGCAACCAAATACCAAAAACATTTACCGCTCCACGAACCCAATCATCATAGCTCACAAAAAAAGCGTATAGGCTACCACAGTGCAATCATTCCGATGCATATACCTACGAAAACTATACCTACGGATTCCACGTGCTATTTTCAAGTTTCTCCTCGAAAAATAGGGTTTTTCAATTGCTATTATCCTACAGCAGTATAAAAGTTATTTTTGAATGATATATTGAACGAACAAGAAATTACCGATGTATATAGTTATTGAATTATTTCTTCACAAAATTCGATCTATTGGCTGCCAGACAGTAGACCATTATCATGTTGCGGCCAATTGCCATCTTGATTTTTTTTCCCCATTGAAATCAACGTAACCAAAGCAAGGCTGGAAGGAAAACATTCGGAGGAAGTAAAAGTCGTAACAAGGTTTCCGTAGGTGAACCTGCGGAAGGATCATTACCGTTCAGAGAGAGAAAACCCCAGCCGTCCAAGAAGCCGAGGTTTGGTTGTCCCCGGCCGGACCCCGCTCCATAATTATGTTTACCAACAGTTTAGGAACTTCTGCCGGTGGGGGGGGGGGGGGGGGGGGGGGGGGCTCAGACTCGTCAGATTCAGGCCTGTCAGACGCATAATAACCGCTGCAGATTAGCTTTACTTTGCTTTGTAAGAGCAGGGGAGGGGTTCGAACCCCCCCCCCAAAAAAAACCCTCTGGATCCGTGCCTGCATGTCAATGACAGTTAATTCTATTAAGCCCAATTAAATGGCATTTAAGAATTCAATCCTTAATGTACATTCTTGTGTTCCACTTTAGATTGTTTTTCAATTTTGTATTTCCAGTTTTAAGGGTGAGTTTTTTTTTTAAAGATGTTCCTGTTTTGCGAGCTACTATATTTGTTAGGAATGTTCACAATATTAAAGAAACGTTATTTGAAAGTTGACTATTGTATAGGCCTATGGCGTTTCTTACGTCAATTGGAAATTGCGCCATTAATAATAGTTGTCATATTGATCGAACGAAACTAAATTTTGATTATAGTCAAATATTACATATTCATTAATTTATGACATAGACCTCTGTTTCGTTTTTAATACTACCAGAGACCTGCCGAGCAGATGTAAATATATTATCAAACTAAACCAAAGTAAAAAAATAAATAAATAGAGGCTTAAAAAAAATCAAAAAGTTATGTGCTGGCCAAGCATTCAGGGATCGGTCTGAGCCATAACAATGCCCCAAAAGGGACTCGGCGTTCCCGGCCAATACACACTTCCTTCCCTGTCCATCCATGTAACCCGAGGGCCAGGCACCATGTAAAAGCAAAGAGCTAAGGGAGGAACAGGGCGGCCCCTAAGCCCTAAGCCCTGATCCTCCGAGTGGACCACATGCCCTGAACCTGTACGAAGGCGCCAACCTGGAACTCGCGGACAGTACCAGCAGCAGTGCTTACCGATTAAGCTAAGGTAGGCCTACTGTTGGTGATTTACGATGGGAAATTAAACATCTTATAATGACTAACCACTAGGCCATTCGGTTTCCTTAGAATTCTCAAAAACGATTTGTCTGAATAGGCGGAGAAACATTGAACATTGTTGAGTGCATCTGTTGTATCCAGCTCCATGGACAAATAGAAGTTGATACTTCGGGCAGCAATGAACCAACTGTTTTTATTTGTTATGTTTGGAAAAATAATACGGCAGCTTCGTTAGTCGTAGGCCTATACGTGTGCTAAACCTACTTATTGTTACACAACAATGAACACCGTGATTATGTAGGCTTTTTTGAAAAGGCATCATGTGCGTTCAGGGGCGGACCGGGAATTTGTGAGGGTTTTATTTGGGGGGGGGGGGATGTCCAGGCCCGTCCGATGTTCATATCCGATTGTTGCAGACCGTGTCATTATTAAGATAATTATACATTTTTCGCGTTTTTAAGGCCGAGGGGTGGGGGTGGGAGGGTTTCGACCCCGTCTGTATCCGCACCTGACTTCTCTTTTCTCAACTCCGTCACTACTATTTCAACATTATATGGACGTCTTTAGAAAAAAAAAATATTTTTTTTACGGAGTTGTTTGTTGACACTGTAAGTCAGGATCTGTTCCGTTCGCTGTTTCCAACAGTCTTTCATTAGCCTTTAATCAAACATTATTTTCCTGAAAAATAATGTGAGCAGGGCGCTGTGTTACAACTGATAATGTAGTAACCAACGGATAATGTCTCACTAACCGATAATGTATCACAAATTGACCGATATTGTATCACTAACCGATAATGTAGCAAAAATTGACTGATAGTGTAGTAAAACTTGTATCCGATAATGTATCACGTGTCGACGGATAATGTAACTACAAAATTACTGTATCCGGTCATGTATCACCTCGGAACGGATACTGTATCAACCGATAATGTATCAAAAATCAACCGATAATGTATCAGTATATTTGGAAAAGGTGGAAATATTGTAAATTAATTGAAGTCTTATAAGTGCCTTTACTATGATGAGTCCCCACTCGGGATAGTTTATCATTAAGATTTTTCTTTTGTGAATTTGGGAGGGAGTTGCTCTGGTTTGGAGACGCTCTACTTCCAAGTGGGCCTAGGCTTGTGGCGGGGGGGGGGGGGGGGGTAACCGCACTCGCACATCCGCGCCGATATGTGGACAAGTTCTTTTCTCCGGACACTAATCATTGAAAAGCGTAATAATGTAGGAAGGTCTGTTAAAACTGATCTGTGTTGTAAATTTACAATTCCCGTCACAGGCTCCGTTTCGAATCACGAACGGTCGGATGGCATTATGCGACGCTGAAAATTGTGTCCACATGGTCCGCAAAGAAACAGAAATAACATCCGGTATGGAACGAGTTCATTTCTATGGGAAGTTTTCGGATAGCATTTGCGCACATTGGCTAACTGCGGGCTTAAACAGCTGCAGCCAGTGCTTTATACATAGATCATAGGCCACTTCCTTCACAAGATATTGTGAAGCTCATCAGTATGGCGTGTCAAACGTTGCAATATTCAATATTTTGCAATATATATGTTGGATGTTCAATATCTTTTATATTTATGTGCGATGTTCAATATAAGTGTGCGATGTTTTTCATTATTTGCGCGATGTTTAATATATTTCTGCGATGTTTTACAATATATGTGCGATGTTCAATATATATGTACGATGTTTTACATTTTTCGATTTTCAATTTATATGTGCGATATTTTTGACGATATATATGTGCGATGTTTTCAATATTATGTTCGATTTTTTGCATTAAATGTGCGATGTTTTTCGATACAATTGTGTGTGTTGTTTTACAATATATTTGCGATTTTCTCAAATATGTGAGCAATGTTTTACACATATGTTTGACATTTCGAGCTATTTGTATTCAATGTTTCATCGGTATGTTTGCATTCGATCTTTTGCAATATGCATTTGATGTTCCCCTTTTCATTCGATGTTTCGTTAAGAGTCAAAGTCTGGTTACTAGACCGCGAAAGTCTGACTATTTTGCCTAAAGTCAGTGTATGAGACGTCAGGGATCGCGTAAAGTGATTAGAGCCAGACCTAAACGGTAAAAACCGGAATTGTGGGTAATTCTTTAAGCATACGCAATGCGTTCATCATTGTTTGGGCAGTACCCCCAGCTGTGCCTGTACTACCCATAGTGTTATGTGCATCATCTATGCATTGAGGAGTGCATGACACATGGTCTGAGCTCCAAAGCCGATGTGCACCTGTCCCGTTTAATGATCCAGTTACCTGATAATTTGTTAGCATAAGCTGTTGTAAAATTGGGCAAGATTAGATGTTTATGAAAAAAAACAAATGGTAAGGGGTTAACCTTGCATTTTTTTTAAAGCAAAATCGGGAAAAATCAGATGTTTCTGAAAAATTGCAGATTGTATGGGGTTAGATGTTTATGAAAAATTTCAAATTGTAAGGGGTGAACATTGCATATTTTATCAAAATTGGGCAAAATCAGATGTTTCCGAAAAATTTCAGATGTAAGGGATTAACCTTGCTTTTTTAGTGAAATTTTGCAAAGTTAGATGTTATGAAAAATTTCAAATTCAAAGGGGTTCCTCGCATTTTTTTAAAGGGCAAATGGGAAAAAATTAAATGTTTCTGGAAAATTGCAGATTGTAAAGGGTTAACCTTGCTTTTTGAATAAGATTGGAAAAAATTAG